TTTAGGCATACCCAGATGGAAGTAGCAAAGAGAAGAGAAGAGCAGCAATTGCCCAGGCCTTAGCTGGGGAAGTCAGTGTGGTGCCTCCATCTCGTCTCATGGCATTGCTGGGGCAGGTAATTAAAGTTTGTGGAACTGAAATTACCCTTTATATAAACTATATGTACAAGTTAAAGAAATCTGATATCCTGTGTATTGGTGACTATCTATGGAGCTGCTTGTACTAACAGCTGTAACATGCCATCCTCATCTTTGCTGGGAGAGGCAGTATAGATGAGTGGTTAAGAGCATAAGCTCTAGAGTCTCCCTCTCCTGTCCTCTCTCTGAAATCAATAAAGAAGAAAAGGAAAAAAAGGCAGATTGGAGAAAAAATTCTTTTTGGCAAACATAAATAACAAGTAACTTGAGCACATTAAAAGCTCACAAATCACTAAGAAAAATAGTCAGTAGACCATTGAGCAAACAACATGAATGAATGGTAAGCAGAAGAGAAATTATATCTAGTTAATAAACTTGGAGAAACATTCAGATTATCAAAGAACTGACTAAAGCAGGCTATAACTTTCCACTCATTAAATTAGCAAAATTTTAAAATGATATCCAAAACTGTTGGTTTTCCTTGTATAACAAAGGGAAAAGGGAATACACATTGGCTGATGTGCCTTTTATATAGACTTGACATATATTATTTTGTTGTATTCTTTCAGCAGCTATAGGAATTAGGCTTTTAGTTTGTTTAGTTCATGAACTTGGGAGTCAAAATAATATTCGGCAAATGATCAGGACTAGGGCCATCTGTCTTCAATGTCCATGATTTTTTTACTCCTCATCACATATTGTGAGTGCTATTGAAGTTACAACTTTTTGGGAAAACAGTTTGTCAGTGTATATCAAGAGCCTCAACCATTCATGTTCTTATTTGGATTCAATAATTTCTATTCTAGGAATCTATTCTAAGGTAGGAATATCTTCAAAATAGAAAAAGCCTTATGTCCAAAGATGTTTGTTTAGATGAGTGAAAAATTGAAAGTGTGTAAATGTCCATTAATGTATAAATTAAATAAACTGTTAAACATTTACTGGATAGGATATGTTTTACAGCCATTGAAATGATAATTATGGGGTGCTAAGAACTCGAGTTCTCAGGTCTGCTGGTGTTGGCATCCCAGCTCAGATGTCCAGGCCACCACTGTGGTGGAGGGCACTTTCAAGGAGGGAAACTTTCCGACTACAGACTACATGGTCCTCTTTTTCTACCCATTGGACTTCACTTTTGTGTGCCCCATGGAGATAATCACTTTCAGTGAGCATGCCAAGGACTTCTGAAAGCTGGGTTGCGAGGTGTTGGGGGTCTCTGTACACTCGCAGTTCACCCATCTGGCTTGAATCTTCTTCCAGCTCTTATCCCACCCAGGCCCACAGGGGGCCTCTTTATCATCGATGGCAAGAGTGTCCTTTGCCATATCACCGTCAGTGATTTGCCCAGTGGATGAGGCTCTATGGCTGGACCAGGCCTTCCAGTACACAGATGAGCATGGGGAATTTTGTCCCGCTGGCTGGAAGGCAGGCAGTGAGTGACATGATCAAGCCTAATGTAATGGCAGCAAGGAATACGTCTCCAAACACAACTAGGCTCACAGACAGGCGCCAAGCTTGGGCTCTTGGCCCCCACCTGCGTGTCCTGTGCTGGCCCAGAAGAGGCCAGACCTGCCCCTTCCTATTCCACAGTCCTGGCCCTGAGGGGTTAGGCCAAGGGCTTCTCATATTCCTAGCTGAGTGGTGAATAGCAATCTATCCCTGGGGCCCTCCAACTGGGCACAGGCCTACAGGTGACCAATAAAGTATTAGGGACAGAAAAAAAAAGAAATGGTAATTATGGCATAGCATGATCTGATGTTAGGCAAAAACAGATTATAAAACTTTACATATAGTATAATTACAGCTGCATTAATTAAACACGTGTAAGGGGAGAAATACTAGAAGGTAATGTATAAAATGTGTTTTGAACTATGGGAGATTTTTTGTTTTCCAGATTTTATTTATAATAAAAGAGTCATACCTATGAGAAAATAGGTATGGAAAGATGGACCTGTTGGCTCTCAGAGTTCCCTTCACCCTGAGATCAGCCTGTACACACAGGCTCTGACACACAGAGTAGCATAGATTATGTTGTATGTTGTGTTTAGATGACAGAGATGGTTGGATCTAGCTAGCTCACAGTTTCCTGTGAGACTCAATCATGATAAGATGTTAAAGCACCCAAGTGGGTTACCATGCGTTTCTTTTTTCATAGGCACTGAAGTGGCAGCAGCACCAGGGGTTGCTTCCTCCTGGCATGACCATAGATTTGTTCCGAGGCAAAGCAGCTGTCAAAGATGTGGAAGAAGAAAAGTTTCCTACACAGCTGAGCAGGCATATTAAGGTAGGATCTTTAGTTTCAGCTGAGAGCCTAGACATAGAATTGGTCAGAGAAAATAAACCCACAACTTTCCTATGTCCAAGTACAGAAATGTCCGTTCAGTGCTCCATAAGAATAAGCTAGCTATGACTCTATGTTAAGGCAGGATTTCTCAAGAGATTTAAATGGGTATTGCTTTAAGGCCACTAGATAAAAATGTATCTATTTCATTTGAAACAGTTTGGTCAGAAGTCACACGTGGAATGTGCTCGATTTTCTCCAGATGGTCAGTATCTGGTCACTGGGTCTGTTGATGGATTCATCGAAGTATGGAACTTTACAACTGGAAAAATCAGGAAGGTAAAGTATCTAAAACATACTAACTTTTCCAGTGAAAGAATGATCTACAATTATATTTTTAATTATTTGATATTTTTACACTTTAACTTTATTTTTGGAATTGGTGATATGTACATCTGATACCATATTTTATAAAATAGATAAGTTGTTCAGTAAAGGGTCATATTCCCCCACTGTCCCGAAGCTGGTCAGTTTCTTTCCTTGGTCCACCCAGGTTACCAGCTTCTTGTGTAACCTTACTGGAATATTCTAGGTATGTATGTGTAAGCAATTATTTTTTATTCCCAATCTAACCTAATTGTAGTACTAATTGTGTTTCTCTTATTATGAGTAAGAGAATATCTCTTTATATGTGAAAACCCACCAATATTTCCTATTCTGTGAAGTCTGTTCATATCTTTTGCCCATTTTTCTTTTGGATTGTAATTATTGATTTGTTGGAGCTTTTTAAGGTTTAACCAAATCAGCCTTTATAATATGTATCACAAATAGTTTTCAGTTTTCACTTGTGTCTTTTGATTTTGCTTATGGATTTGCTTTATAGACTAAAATCTTTTGTATCATCATATTTATCCATCTTTTCTTTTTTTTTTTTTCTTTTTTTTTTTAATCCTCACCCGAGGATATTTTTCAATTTTTTGTACAGATAGAGTGGGAGGGAGAGAGAGAGAGAGAAACATCGACGTGAAGGGACACATCGAGTGGTTGCCACCCGCACGACCAACCAAGGCCGGGGACAAACTGCAACCGAAGTACGTGCCCTTAGCGGGAACCGAACCCGGGTCTCTCCGGATCGCAGGCCAACGCTCTAACCGCTGAGCCAAACTGGCCAGGGCTATCCATCTTTTCTTCCACAATTTCTTCTAGTTTTTTTTGTTTTTTTAACTTTTTTCTTTATTGATTTTTTTTTTTTGAGAGAGAAGAAGGGAGAGGGAGGGAGAGAGAGATAGAAACATTGATGAAAGAGAACATCAATTGGCCACCTCCTGTATGCCCCACAGTGCTAATTTGGCCCTCAACCTGGACCATGTGCCCTGACTGGGAATCAAACCAGCAACCTCTTGGTGCATGTGTCAGTGCTCAACTACTGAGCCATACCAGCCAGGCTCTTTTATTCTTTTTATGTTACATTTTATGTTCAATTTTTGATCCACTGAGAATTTGTTTAGGGAAATAAAATTGTTGTAGATCAAAGTTAATATTTTCCCCAAATAGCTATTTATTGACTATCCACTGATTTAAATTATAATCTTTTTCATAGAATACTAAATTCTACTTGAGTAGTGAAATTTATGAGTGATTTTCACTTTCTGCTTTATATCTTTTATTATAGTTTGTTTTTTTTTAAACCATGAAGCCGTCTCAGTTTATACTTAGAACAAAATAGATACTTCTATTTGAACAATAATTGATAAAATAAGCATCACAAATAAATCTATTAGTACAGTACATGGTTTGAGGAAAATAGCCAACCATTTAGAAGAAACATTACTTTCTCACATTATACCCCTAAAATAAATAAATTCAGATGTATGAAAGATATACAGTATGAAACTGTAGGCATAGCCCATGGACACAGGCAACAGTGTGGTGAAGGATAGGGGACCGATGGCGGGGACTGGGTTGAGGTGGGCAAAGCGGGGGTGAATGGCGGATGTCTGTAATAGTGTCAACAATTAAAAAAAAATAGTGAGCACTGGCTGGTTTGGCTCAGCAGTTAGAGCGTAGGCCCGCGGACTAGAGAGTCCCTGGTTCAGTTTCCACTAAGGGCAAATACCTCGGTTGTAGTTGTCCCTGGCCCCAGTTGGGGTTGTGCAGGTGGCAACCAATTTATGTCTCTCACATCGATGTTTCTCTCTCTCTTCCTCCCCCTTTCCCTCCCATTCTATCTGAAGATAAATGCAAAAATATCCTCAGGTGAGGATTAAAAAAAAAAAACTGTAGGGAAATTTTGCTTAGAAAAGATTAGTAAGTGTGCTTGCTTCGACATGACATATACTTTTTTTTTTTTTTATCCTCACCTGAGGATATTTTTCCATTTTTTGTACAGATAGAGTGGGAGGGAGAGAGAGGAAGGGAGAGAGAGAGAAACATCGACGTGAAGGGACACATCGAGTGGCTGCCACCCGCACAACCAACCAGGGCTGGGGACAAACTGCAACCAAAGTACGTGCCCTTAGCGGGAACCGAACCCGGGTCTCTCCGGACCGCAGGCCGACGCTCTAACCGCTGAGCCAAACTGGCCAGGGCGACATGACATATACTAAAATCGGACTGTGCAGAGAAGGTTAGCATGGCCCCTGCGCAATGATGATGTGCATATTCATAGAGTGTTCCATATTTTTTCATGTAATAAAGGTGTTTATTCTTTTTTAAAAAGGGGGTGGTGACAAACAAGATTAGTAAGCAAAAGATGTAGGCTCTTATGTTGGTGTTCTTTCTAATGTTTGAATTGTGTAATTATTTATTCCCAGCATTATCAGTTGTTCATTAGGAATGTGTGTGCATGCCACTACTATTTGCTTTGGAGAGTTAGAGTATGTACAAGCCATTATTCTGCTTTCAGAGAGTTAGCAGAGATCTGGGGAAATTGGATTGTGTGTTGTTTTGATAACTGCTTATCATTGTTTCCTTTAGGATCTTAAGTACCAGGCCCAGGATAACTTTATGATGATGGATGATGCTGTCCTCTGCATGTGTTTCAGCAGAGATACAGAAATGTTAGCAACTGGGGCTCAAGATGGAAAAATCAAGGTATGGATTAGTAGCACAAATTCCTCCTGTCTTTAGAGAGTTCTATAATGAGGTCGTGTCCTACCTATGATATGCAGCTTAATGACAGCTACTGTTTATTGAGCATCAACTTTGTGCTATCACTTTACTTTTTCTTGTTTAATCCTAATAACAACTCTGCCTAGTGAAGTTTAATAATTTGTTTAAGGTTACACAGTGAATAACAGTTCTGGGACTTCAGATCTGCTCATGCCTTTTCTGCTGCACCATCCTTGCTCACTTAATATGATGTGTTTGTTGTTCTTTGTTTTTTTAGCAAATGGATTTTTTTTAGGGAATGGGATTGTCTGCAGCTGATTAGATGTGGCTTGTATTTAATTGCTGGTAAAATGCCCCGGGCTAGGTAAAATACAGAAGTGGTCTCTGCTAAGTAAACTTAGAGTCTAAATTTTTGTTTTAATAATTGATAACTTTCAAAGGATTCAGTTATCATTGTACTGTGTGAACCAGACAGATCATATTCAGCTATTAGCATGCATTTTTTAATGCTATTTTAGTACATTAGTGAGCGTTGCATTTTGCTTGGCTCTGTGGACACTCTACACATTTTTACTATTCTTTTTTGTTTTTTATAAAGGTATGGAAAATTCAGAGTGGACAGTGTTTAAGAAGATTTGAAAGGGCACACAGTAAAGGTGTAACCTGTCTAAGCTTTTCTAAAGATAGCAGTCAGATCCTTAGTGCCTCTTTTGACCAGACAATTAGGTATGTAAGAATCCCCAAACTGTCCTCATTTGGGTTTGATGTGATGAAGCTTTAAAGGGAGGTACTAGTGATTCCTTATATACTTTCACCAGGATGGTATTATATGAAGAGTGAGGGTGTGTGAGATCTCACTTCCACAGTCAGAATACAGCTGACACAGTGCTATTATTTTTGTCTGTGTGAGTCTTTACCCACCTGCATGAGTCATGTTCAAGGACATATAACAAATACAGATTGCTGGGATCCAGCCAAGACCAGAAATCTGTCCCTGAACAGAAACCTCTATGGTATTATTGGCATATTTTCTTCTAGTCTCTGTGCCGAACTTTTGTTTTGGTTTTGTTTGACTGTTCGACATAATGAAAATTATGCTGCATGCATAAATGCATTGCCCTGTTTATTCACTTAATATTATAATAAGAGATTCTCTAATTCATCTAAAATGCATTCAACACTTGGTTTCAACCATACTATGTAGAATATTAATTGTTCTTTTTATTACCTTTTATGTGTGATAGAATTCATGGTTTAAAATCTGGGAAAACCCTGAAGGAATTCCGTGGACATTCTTCCTTTGTTAATGAAGCAACATTTACACAAGATGGACATTATGTTATTAGTGCATCCTCTGATGGCACTGTAAAGGTCAAGTATTTGCTGCTGGTTTATTTTGGGGTGTCCCATTTTTGCCCTTTGAGGAGTTTTCAGTGGCGGTAATGGTGATATTTGTGGTGGAGTAAACCTGTTTTTGAGCTATTTTAGTTATCATTGAGGTGAGTCTGAGACTATAGTAATACTCTGTGGGTCATTCTATTGGCCTAGGAACCTCAAATCTCAAACCTACAAAATCAGATTTTAGCATGTGTAGGAAAAGAGGAAAGGTGTGGAGTTTTAAATTTAAGTCATCCCCCATTTCCAGTGGTTGAATTTGATCTTGCCATAGGTGTGGTCCACTAGCAACAAATTCACAAAGGGCTTCGTGGCCAAATAGCTATCGTTTTTGTTGCGCAGCCTCATCCCACCCTGACCCCCACATTTAGGGCCTTCCTAGTAGCATTTCTAGAGGAACAGAGAAGTATAGAGCAGAACCCCTAGAGGAAGGGAAGAAGTATAAAGTAGAACTAAGCCTCTCTCAGATACTTACTTAATGCCCTCAGCGCTCAGCTGGAATTAATGGATCTTCAGTACCTTAAGAGAGGGCCTCATTTCCTAGAAAAGATGAGAAATCCATATAGTAAATTGCTGAGGATCTTTGAGATACTCCATTTACATTCTGGTCCTGCTTTTAAATTGCCTTGTGCAAGTGAGTGCTTTGTAGCAAAAGGCCTCCGCGTTTCAACACGAACACCTAGAAGTCAGACCATGCTCTCAGGTTTGTTCTGGCTTGGGAATCGAACCAGAAACCTGAGGGTAGGAGATACACTTTTCCTCGGGATGGAGGGGGAAATACACAGCGCTCTTAGTACTTTAGTCATGGGATTTGCCCTCTTTGTGCCATGTATAGGGCCTCATAAGATGTAAAATGGCCATTGGGGGGTGGATTATCTAGGCCTCTTTGTTTTGAGGTCTTTTCCTTTAGTTCTGCAATGTATGGGGTAAAGCATCTCACTGACTTTTTGGACAGAAAACACTAAAAGCCTCAGAACTCTTGCTACCCAAAATGTTGATGTCTCTTCTAGGCAACTGGGCTTTAGAGAGCGGATTGGGACAGATGATTACAGTGTTTATTAGGAATATAAATAATAGGGCAACTTGTGGGTAACTGTTTCTTCCTGTTTATGAGTGTTCATTATCTGTTTTGTGCTAAGCTCTGTTGAAGGCCAGAGAAGGCACAACATAGTCCATGCCTTTGAGGCTTTTATGCTTCATTGAGTGGTGTCCAGACAAGGCTTATGCTATCAATACTGGGTCCATCCCTTCTCTAAGTGCATCTCAGCTATTAATAACTGTTTCTTTTCTGACTCAATATATTCTTTTTTAGTCATCTGATTTTCATTGTTTTAAACTCCAAAACTAGAAATGTTTATGCTTTAAATTTATGCTTAAAAAAAATTTTTTTTTCCCGGTCATAGATCTGGAATATGAAGACCACAGAATGTTCGAATACCTTTAAATCTCTGGGCAGCACTGCAGGGACAGACATCACTGTCAACAGTGTGATCCTGCTTCCTAAAAACCCAGAGCACTTTGTGGTGTGCAACCGATCAAACACAGTGGTCATAATGAACATGCAGGGGCAGGTGAGTGCTCAGGAACTGCCTTTGCATGGGCCATTCCCAAATCAGCATGTCTTGGTCTTGCTTTTCCAGTAACCAAATATGGGTTCACCACTCTAAACTATATACACTGTATTTCTTATTCAAAGGCTTATTTACACTATATTCTTTGGCTTTGTTTGCTTTTAAATCCTCACCTGAGGACATTTTTTTCATTTTTTTGTTCAGATAGAGTGGGAGGGAGAGAGAGAGAGAGAAACATCGATGTGAAAGGGACACATCGAGTGGTTGCCACCTGTACGACCCAACCAGGGCCAGGGACAAACTGCAGCCAAGGTACGTGCCCTTAGTGGGAATCAAATCCAGGTCTCTCTGGACTGCAGGCCTACGCTCTAACTCCTGAGCCAAACCGGCCAGAGCTATACTCTTTGGCTTTTAAAAAGTTATCTCCGCCCTGGCCGGTTTGGCTCAGCAGTTAGTGTCGGCCTGCAGTCCAGAGAGACCCGGGTTCAGGTCCCGCTAAGGGCATGTACTTGGGTTGCAGTTTGTCCTGGCCCTGGTTGGGTCGTGTGGGTGGCAGCCACTCGATGTGTCCCTTTCACGTCAATGTTTCTCTCTCTCTCTCTCTTCCTCTCTCCCTCCTGCTCTGTCTGAATAATAATAAAAAAAAAAAGTTACCTTCTTTCCCCAGGGTTTTGTATATTCTCTTTCTTTTGCATCCTTTATATAAATGAGGCTCTTACCTGCCCTTAAGCCTCTACAGAATCTCATTGAAGGTTTTAAGATAACAATTCTTGTGTGAGGGAGATAGTATGTCAGTTACCAACTTGGGATATCTAGCTACCACATGATGTAAGGTAGAGCTCATAGGAGAAGGGCAAGCATGCCATAATGTGTATTTGTAATCAGCATATTTGCAAGGTTCCCAAGGAACCTCACTTTTCTAGTACCAGGGACATTCAAGATTGAGGTTCCCCGCCCTGGGAATATGTTGTGGTACTACTGAAATGTTGGATTGGGCATTTGATATTCTGCTGAGCTTGGAGAACACTGGTATATGGAACTCTCATTCCTTTAGTCCCTATAATTGATTAAAATTAGTAGTTTAGAACCCTTGGTTGTGGTACAACCCGTAGTCTGTGGTATCTGCTGGGTCCTGCGTAATAACTATAGCTGCATACTTCCTAGTTTTCTGCTTGATTGTGTGTGTGTGAATCCTCCCCAGAGGATATTTTTTCCCGAATTTTTAGAGCGGAAGAGAGGGAGTAGTGGGAGAAAGAGAGAAATATTGATGTGAGTGGAACACATCTATTGGTGCCCTCTCACATGACCCCAAACAGGACTGGGAATCAAACCTGCAACCCAGGTACGAGCCCTTGAGTGGAATTGAACCCAGGACCCTTCAGCCCACAGGCCAACATTCTAACAGCTGAGCCAAACTGGCCAGTGCTCTGCTTGACTTTTTAAAGACTTTTTATTAAACAAAAATAACTTTAGATTCATAAAGGAGTTGCAAAAACAGTACTGTGTTCCTGGGTACCCTTTCCCCAATAATAACATCTTACATAACCATAGTGCAATTCTCAAAACCTGGAAACTGGCATTAACATGTTACCCAGGTACTTGTTTAC